CCCCAAAACCCCAAAACCCCAAAACCCCATCAAATAAATAAAAGCAAATGGGTAAGTGAAAAATGAGCATGATTTTTATTAAGTTTAAAATATAAATGTAGTTAAAAGGTTCTCCATCTAATAACAACTTCTCATCATAGATTGCTGTTAGATAGAATTATTAAGATCCTGTAATAAGTCTTCATTAGAAGAATCCATCTGCTAATCTAGAGCTATTAAGTTCATAAAGTAATTTCTACATAATTTTATCACTATGTTGAAGAAAAGCAAACTTTGCAATTATGGAATTATACTGGAGGAAGTGGCCAAATTCCAAGGTGCTTTGATAAATTTTGCAAGAGCTTTGTAATTTCACTTTTAGAACCTGATATGAAACTAACCTATCCAAAGCCTAACATTATATTGGATAACTAAAGCAGTGGTTCTCCAACTAATTCCTAGAATTTTAATTCAAGCCTCTCTCTCGGATTTTAAGGGGGAAGTAATTTTTTTAAGAGTTCCAGTATAATGAGTCAAGCAGTTCTACTTTAGATTATGATTCCAGAAAATGAGCTATTCACAATGGAATTTATAGTCTCTGATCTCTAAAGAGTAATATAGTTTATATATAACCTTATTTTTAGGATAAAAAAAGATTAATTTTCTCTTCTCAAGTGACTGATGTACAACTTTATGATGATTATGTTCTAATACCGAACTATTATATCCAAAGAAGAATATGGCTCAATCTAATAATTGATCTAAAGAACTTTTTTGGCAATTTTTTTAAAGGCAGCACCTATTGATCATTGGAGCAGATTATATTATAATCTTACTGCAAAATTAGAAAGATTTTACCTTTAAGCAACTCCTAAATGTAATTATTAGATCTTATCGGGGACACTACGTCTCATGGAGAGTAATTTAATATAGCTACGATATTGCCTACTTAAGTTAATTATCCTTAGGGTGTTAGTTCTTAGTTTTAGATTCTCAATTATGAACTCTCAATCTTAAGTAGTAACACTTAGATTAATAGCTACGTAAATACATTAAATGACTTTGGTTATACAAATTCAGATTCTGAACTTTATTAAAAACCACTTGATAGTAGATCTTTAAATAGGACTCTAAAAGTTAAGTTGTCTCCATCTACATTAGTAAAACCAACTGGCGAAAGACACATAGAGCAAATGAGCTAAAAGAAAATAGGCTCTTAAAAAAATCTAAATAAAATGAGATTGCCAAAAATTAAAAAAGATAACGTATCAATTACAACGGGATAAGACTCTGTTTCTCCAATTAAAAACAGACTTAATGGACAATAAAACTAAATAAATGGAAATGTCTAATCATTTATAAATCAATCAGAAGCCAATACAACTATTACTACTAGATTAAAATCAGCACATTCATAGTTTTAAGGTTCAAATGAAGATATTCCTTAGCTTCATTAAATAATAGGAGTAGGATAATAATCTATTTAGACTATCAATTAAAATCAATAATCAAATCTTGATCCTTCCTCGATTCACTCAAATAGAATTATAATGCATTGATCTAATGATAGAAACAAGCATCGAGAGTTGAGCACTAAGCTTAATTCTATAAATAACAAAGAATAAAGTTCTTAGTCCTCATAAAATAAGCTTTTAAGCAGCGGCAAAAAATCTTAACTTAAGCAGCATCCACTTTCAGCTGTGTAAAGATCCAATAAGCTATCTAATAATCTTTACTCAATAGTGAATAATAAACTTGTCAGAAATGTGCCTAATGGTAACTCTAATGGTGACTTGACAGATGGAGAAGCTTCCTTAAATAATGAAAAGATTCAAAATTTAAAACTCTTACCTTAATACACACAGGATCTGAATAAAAATGTTTTTCAAGATTCTTCATTTATTTCAAATAAGGAAATAATTGAACCACAAACTGAAAAAAAGAGTAGACTTAAGAAGACTATCGAATAATAGACAAAACTTAAAAAACCCCAGAGAAGACTTCATAAACTTTAATATAACAATGAAAATTAATATAACAATAGCAATCTTTCACCAGCAGAATCAGACAATGAGTAACAAAACTAAACTAAATAATAAAAAAATAAAACTCCTTAAAATCATAATTCAAATCCTTATAGTTTCTTGAGTAAGGCTCAAAATAGCATGATTAAAGGGAATTAAAACACTTATAGAGGCATAGATTAAGAAGCTAGTGATAATTTGATAGAGATCACTAAAATATCTCAAAATTCAAAGTTAAATCCTTACATTAATAAAATAATAAGCACTGCTTGGAATGAAGAATCAATTAGAGAGGAAAATGAATTTGCTGAGAATGACGAATTAGTTAATGGGCAAAGAAATAAGTAAAGATCCTTATTTAACATTGAATGAGCTAATCTCAAATAGCAAGCATTGATGAAAAATAATCCATAACTTGATCCATACCTCAGTTAAAAGGTAAGATAGAATTTTAGTGGAGTTAGATCAATAAAATAGAGTTTTAATAACAATAGTACAGCTGGGAATGCTAATCAGTAAAATTCATAAGGTAAATCAAGCAAGATGTCAACGATTTAGGACAATGGCTAGCAAGTAGCTCCAATCACTAAATAAAGGTATTCTTCATAGAACAAAGCAAATATGCATATTCAATAAAATCCTTACAATAGTAATCCGTTAGGCTAATAGTAAAAGCATAACAATATGATTCAAATCAATGATTCTCAAGCACCTTCTCTTTTAGATAAGATCCAAGCTATAAAAGACAAACGACAAAAAATATCTGAGATAGAATAAAGATACCTTCATAAAGAGAGAAATATCAATAAATCTGATTTGTAAAATCCAACTTAAGCTTTGTCCAATTTTCATATGTAAAAGCCTAATTTAAAGAATATTAGGAATAAAAAATATTCTGATGCTGAAAAAAACATTTTAAATAATCTCAATGATAATAAGAACTCTTAGATAAACAGCAATTAAAATATTATTAATCCTCAAATTTATTCAATAGTTGAAATTGCTAAGGGTTAAGCTAAGAGTCAAGTTGAAAAATTCAAACTATAAAATAAAAATGCAAGATTGAGGAAACTAACTAAGGGAGACTCAGATATGTCATTGAATGCAAAAATAAATAAAAAACTGCTCCCACCCTCCTAAAATGGTGAGTAGAATTTAAAAGCATCTGCTCATAACTCTCAAAATAACGATTCTTTTTACTTTGATTATAATTAACTTGACCCCAGATTTACTACTAGTGTTTTCAACGATAATACTATGAGAAGCCAGGAGAACACAAAGGGGAGAATTAGTAAGATTGGCAACAATAATATGAATGTGAAAGTTAGTGACTTTGAAGATGATATCAACTATATTGAGGAGAAAATAGTAGAGGCTACAGAGTCTGATGCTCACAACACAAGAACCAACTTCAATAAGCATAATTTTTTCGACGATGATGAAGAAGAGGATAAAGATGATGATCAAGATTATAATCTTTATTATTCAGACATTGGTGGGCTCATGTCAACACTCAACCAGAACTAGAATCTTAACACTTTTTCTAGAGTCCCCTAGATGGAGGATAAACTGAATACTCTCTCAATAGAAAGAAGACCTTTTTCACCACCATTTAGTTAATTCTAACAACTTCAAATCAAGAGGATAGAGGTAAATTAATAAAACGACACTAGCAATGAGGCTCTAAATGACATAATATGACAAATTTCCTATTTATTTCGAGTTATTTATTTTCAATACTAATCAGTAACTAATATTTAACTTTAAGGGGGTTTTGGGGTTTTGGGGTTTTGGGGGTCCTGTCCAAGAAA